GGGTTATATTTTAACACTGTGTCTGGTCAAAAAAGAATAGTCACTAATCTTCTGACTAGATTTACTTTCTACTGGTAGTCTTTGCTTAACAAACACAACTGGGCCTGGAATTTTAGCTGAAAGTTATTGTGGTCATTAAATAAACACCCACATAACCACTCCACTCTATGACAATAGTTGAAGTAGTTAAGTGAATGGAGAAAACAACTGCCAACTGAAGTGGGGCAGGTAACTCTTTTACTCCAAGTGCAGAAGAAAATTCCTTCCTTGGGTGAGCTGAATGGGGTTAGGGTTAGGGCTAGGGTTAGGCTGAATGGGGCTTGGCCTTTGTATCCACGTTTCATTTAGCCAGTGCAGCTCAGGAATTCCCCGAGACTCCATGCACAGAAGACATTTTCAGTCAGCCTCTTTGAAAGTGGAAGAGCTGCTTGGCTCAGAGGGACCCAGTCCCAAGCAGGGCTGAATCAACCTGCCAAGCAGCTTTTAGCTGTTACCATTCCAGAGAAGCCAGGAGGGAAGATTGTAAATGGTGTTCAAATGACAAAATTATATGCAAAAAGATGGATTAATATTTTGATATTTGAAAAGGACATAGAAGTATTAATTCAAGACAGTGATTTAGATAATTTCTTTTTTTACAAAACAGATCTATTAAAGATTTTAATGATTTGCTGAGAATAAGAGAAAATCAAAGAAATCAAGCAAGAAGACTTTATTTTAATGGAATAAAAGATTGTTACAAGTGCATGTAAAGAATACAGAATCAGTTTATTTGACCATGGTTTTAATATAATTATGTTTTGTGACAGAAGATGTCTTCTGTGAATCTTTTTGGGATACAAGATTCATTATGCAGCTGGGGCTTGTTAGGGGCAGGTTTGGAGATAAAAGGACGGATGCTGCCACGCCCTAGTCGCAGGAGTCAACGTTCCTTCGTGCGTACAACATTGCTTGATAAGTGCTTTGGTGTTTCCTGTAACCCTGATTCAAGGCTACACTTGGAGAAGTGCATTGCTTGTAAGAGTTGTTTTGTATTCTTTTATCTCGTTAGAGACTGTATTTATGTTATTTTTGGGCTCGAAGCCAGTCTGAGCCGAGAACTGATAAAGAAAGACTTCCTTTTAAGTTTGCCTGCTTGCCGTTTGTTAAGAGCCGTGAAGGGGGGACAGAACAATTATGTAATTATTTTGGGTAGCCATAAGAGACTTTTGTGGAGTGGGAATGAATTACAAGGCCTTAGTGTTGGGTAGTAAAGGATCAGTAATGGGAAGGAGAGTGCATTTGTTCTATCTTAAGAAATACTGTTAATTTAATAAAAATATACTTGTGATAAAGGGGGAAGTTACTTTTTTATTCTTTTTTGTTCTGTTTTCCTTTTTACTTCCTTTTTTTCATTTTTCCTGCAATTTTCATTTTCATATTTATTGTAGTTCATATTAGCTTTTGCTTTTCCAATTGCACTTTTAATAAAAATTATTTCTAAAAACCTACAAACAATGCTAATGTTAATTAATCTAAAATTCATTTTTTATATACCCACAGAAATATTTGATGGGAGGTAGCATATGTTGTTGATACTGTCTGGTGATTTTTCTGTTATAAATATAGTGCCCCAGTTATTCTTCTTACAATTGTTTGAATTCAACAGCTCAGGCAGCTTGAGTACAGTTTGAACAGCTTGGAATAGACTTTAAGGGAACAAGTGACAAGGGAGCAAAGCACAAGCACCTCTTCCAATTATTTTTTCTCTGAAAATTCTGAACACTCCTACAACCATGTTATGAGTCCAATACAGTTGGGAATCTCATGTTTGTCTCCTAATTTCTAACTTGATACAATAGTCTCCAGTGTAACCCTATTTCGAATGAAGTTTAATGTCACAAGCCACAGCAAAAAGCTTGTGGCTAACAGGTTCTCATTAACTTAATCTATTTCTAGAATTAATAATATTTTTCAGTTGATTGCATCTAGTAAAACATTAAAGAACAGTTAAAACCACTGTGTATTTGAAACACTAAAAAGGAATCTGTGTACTAAAAAAACCTTTTATGAGTGTCATAATATTTTCTGAATGCTACCTATCTCTATCTATGAGACTAGTTTTTAATTTCATGAAATCATTTTCTTATTCATAACCCGGGGCAGTTTTTGCATATGAGGCGATAGGTTACAAGTGTGCACCTCTAGCAAATGCATACTCAGCCTTTAAATTAATCAAACCAATTTATCTTTTGTGAGAGGCACAGTATCCCTATGAAAACATTATCCTATATACGTGTTACATAAATATAATGACAAAATGGCCTTTCCAGACATCTAGCTTTCTGATCTCACGACTATAACATCAATTATAGGTTTCCAAATGGCATTAAATTTCTAACTACATGTTTATTATTTGTATGAACAGTGAATGTTAAACCAGGCAAAATGCCATTATCACTACAATAACAAAATGTACAGTACATTGGTCTATAGCAACACAGCATATTTCATCTGAACAAAAACTATTTCCAGAAGGTTAAAGTAAATGTAAATTGTCTCCCAGAGTTGCTTAAAAGAAAAGAAAATATCTGCCAAATGAGGCTTATCCCATTATTTCAACATTAGAATAGGAAAAAAAAAACATCGAGTCAGTGGTGGGATTCAAATAATTTAACAACCGGTTCTCTGCCCTAATGATTTCTTCCAATAACCAATTCACCAAATTACCCAGAAAGTTAACAACTGGTTCTCTGAAGTGGTGCAAACTGGCTGAATCCCATCACTGCACCGAGTGATATATAAAGATACAGATGCTGGCTCGGGATTTAGTTCTAAAGCAAAATAAAGTCAGAGAAATAAAAAGGACGGAATTTGAAAAATTGATTTTAAATCAATAGCTTAATTCACAATGGAGGAAAAGGGATTATACTAATCTTGGGCTCAAGGCAGATTTTCTCAGGGTAGTAGATGACAATATGTATTCCTTGCCTAAACCTGGCAGCTCTACCTACTGAAAGATAATACTGATCCTGCACAGAATTATCCTAGCCCCATAGGACTTGCCTCATTTTTTGCTCAGAATTACAGGTCACAAATAGGTTGCAATAGGAAACTTTTAAGAGTACTGCATTATTCTGCAGATTCACTTGCTCAAGAGGTCCATGGTACTTTTTCTACGCAGAGAAATTCTCTGTTTTATGCATTTCAGTTTTGCTCCAATTCAAGTAGGTCCAATTGTATCATACTTACCTGGATGCTGGTATAAATGAAATAATAATTTGAAAACACACACTTAGGTAGAAGATAAAATAGACCGGTTTTCATACTGAGATAAAGAAGGCAATTCTTTCCGTGATGAATAATCTAATTAGCATTATGAATTATTTAAATCTATTTTAAAGTTACAATTTTAAAATATCTATTTTACTATCAGTGCTTTCATTTTTACCTGACCATCTCATTATTCAATGCAACAATTTCCAAGTACTTCTTTAGCGCATAATAATTATGGATATATTTTCGGACATAATAGCCTCGCCATCTTCTTTGAATCTAGGGAAAAAAGAGTACATATATTTGCTTCATTGAGTGTTGGTTTTTCTTGCAATAGAGAAATAACTGCCAAACATTATAAGAAATATTTATTCTGCTCTGCAAGGAACACAACTGCTTCAACACTAGAATGTATACATATTTTCATATTCATTAATATAGATACAAAACTCCCTAAAATTATTATGCTGACATAAATACATACATTACTTGGCTACTTGCTGTTAATAATACTGCTAAGATAAATCATTAATATGACACTTAATAAGAGAAATCAAACTTGGGAAAGATAACTTACTACATGTAGAGACCAAATGGGCAGTTGACTTCTTTGTATTTTATATTTTAAAGTATCATATTATAACAATATTGGTATATCACAAAGAAACCCACTTGTTCAACTCCACCTGTTAAGAATCATAAGACTTTTCATCCAAACAAATGAGAAGGCTAATTAAAGTATCTGCTTCACCATCCATCACTTTTTATAATATCATAATGTAATTAGAATCTTTTGAACAGATTGTGGGAAGTGGAAGTCTGTTCCTGTAATCCTTCCCCAGTAAAAAAAAAATCTCATTTCTACCTTAGTAGAATGAAAATACTGATAAGAGATTATATCAAATATGTTATGAATCAGGATTTGCCTTTACACCATATAAAACTTACTTATCTACCACCTTCAGGCTAGCAGTTTTTCAGAAGGTGGAGGCATATCAACATACTTAGCTAAAAGACACCGCCTGTACCTTTGCTCCTTCAAACTTTTTCGGTAAAAACTATGCTGTTTCATAGGTACCAGATAATGAAAAAGTGCTCCCAAAATTGTTTGTGATGTGTAATTACCGATTAAATTAATTCTATATTCAAAAGTTGTAATAAATAAAAAGAATGTTAAAATTCCTGGGAATAACAAAGTCATTTCTGACTTTGCCCAAATTTTTATTATAACTAAAACTATTTATAATAACTAAAAAACTATTTAAAAATTGATCTTGGATAGTTAAGAAATTGCCAGAACTATCCTGGGGAATGACGTAAGGTGGTATATAAAAATATTTTTCACTCGCATGTTTTCATATTAACTAAGTAATTCAAAATATGTTCATCTTCCTTTTCTATTAAAAGAGACAGTGGCTATTAAAATTCAGTACAAAAAAATAAAAACTTACAATATATATTTGATACCCAAGACAAATAATATATCAATCAGATCAGTAGAGTAAGAACCAACTAGGAAACAAAGTAAAAACAATGAAGCCATCTGGAAGAAATAAATTACTTAAAATATATATTTTAAGGCCCAATATATTTCAGGTATAAGGAGTTCAATAAAAGGGGTTCTCTTCTTTCTCTGTCTCTGTCTCTCTCTTCTCTTTTCTCATCTTGTTTCAAAATAATTATAAAAAGAAAATCATTCTTTTTAAAAGGAAAGATGGAGTGTCAATAAGCTTAGAAGAATTTGTTATGAGCAAAACATGGATATTCTTCAACCTCTGGTCCAGTTAAAAAAGAGCTAGCTATTCATCTAGAATGTTGTTCTAATTTTAAATAAAATGTTTGACAAACTACTTTCCCAAATAGCTATATTTTACTACTGTAACTGGCAAAGGCCTGGGAACTGGGAATATAAAAGTCCATTCTGGACTTGGTCCCTCTCAGCTCTGAGCATCAGTGAGGTAAGGTCTGCCTCTTCCACTATCCCCACTTGTCTGTCTGTATTTGTGCCACCTTGCACCCTGCTTGTGGAAAGGCAAGTGGCCTAGAACTGCCAGCTCTAGGCTTACCTGATGTGCTGCAGCTCAGGAGTTTTTTGGTTTGCCATAGCTCCAGGGCTGCAAGAAGCTTTGAACTTCAGCATAGCACAAGGCCTCCAGCTACCTCAGCAGCACAGTACAAGCATGGACTACAAAGCTGCAGCTATCCCAGGAATCCTCAAGAACCCCGGAAAGGACAGTGTGAAATCACAGCCCAATAGTGCAATGTGAAGCCCAGCCACTCCAGGAAATCTCAGCAGTGCAGCACAAGAACCCTAGCTGTCCCAGAGGTTTTACCTGCCTCAGCCCAGCCAACCTGTACTCTGAGGCTTCTGCCACCATTTCCTCTGCTATCCCAGCTTACCCTTGCTGTCTTCTTGCTCTCACTACTGATGAGGCATGCCCCTTCTAGTACTTTGCTGACCATGTGAGAGACATCTTTCTCAGGTCTCACGAGGAAATTGCAGTGCAACACCTTGCGATCAAAGCCTTGTGTGGCTAGTAGCTACCTCGTGAAAGCTGAGGGCAGGCATGCATGGTCAGCAGCAAGAGCAGAAGATGATAAAAGGTTAGCTAGGCAGCAGAGACTGCAGAATACAGGGACCAAAAAGCCATAGATGGAAGGAGATAGGTATGAGGGGATGTATGTTTGGGGGGAGGAATCTCTTTATTTAAGCTTTGCTGATTTTAACTATTGCATATTGATAAATGTCTCTCATTTTCCAATGCATTTAGGCCTCTTATTTGCCCTGCGTCATTTGTATCCTGAACCATCCAACATGGAAAGGAAAATGCAAGATAGTCATAGTCATTTTAGACAAAGAACAGGAGACAATATTGCTCTTATATGCTGGATAATTGGAGAAGCCAAAGAATAGTAAAAGAAGTCATTATGTTGACAATAGAGAGGCTTTCAGGTATATTATGTCAAGATGTGGAATGTCTTTAGGAAAATGGGAATCCCAGAATATCTTATTGTCCCCATGTAAGACAACTGGGCCGGAATCCTCAGTCCAGATAGAACATGGTGAAAAACACTGGCTCCAGGTCAGCCAAAAAAAAAAAAGAATGAGACTAGACTGTATACTTTCTCTTTAATAATTCAACCTGTATGTTGAATATATAATAAGGGAGTTTGGACAGGAAAAAAAGAGGATAGTTTTAAATCTGGGAGAAAGAAACATCAGCAATCTATGTTATGTTGATGACACTACACTGATAGCTGAAAATGCAAATGCTTTGCAAGCTCTAATAATGAAAGTGATGGATAGCTTCTGCTATTTAGGATCAACTATCATTAGTAAAGGAGCAGCAATCAAGAAATAAGCTACAGACTAGCACTTGATATGGTAGTAACAAAAGAATTCAGATGCCATGATATGTCTATATCTACAAAGATCAGAGGTGTGCAGGCAATGTTTTTCCATGTGATTCTCTGTGGATTCAAGGAATTAGACTTTGAAATAGCATGACAGAAAGCGTATTAATGCCTTTGAATTTTGGTGTTGGGATAAATACATAAATCAATCAGTCTGTAAATTAATTATTTGTATATTACACTACTTGTATCTCTTATAATTCCAAGGTGAATATTTACCCTCCCTTACAAAATATATGCCCTTCAAAGTAATTAACAAGTTTCTGTGGTGATTGGTACCAAACAATTATTGTCATTGATCAGTACCAAACAGATAATTTTAAACAAAGTCATTGTGTGCTCAGCAGATTACAGCTTGTTAACGGGCAAGTTCTGAATGACCTCTTAAGCTAGTCAAATCAATGATGCATATTCCTCATTAAGTAACATCAAAATGTAAGTGGTCTTATAAATAATGTTTATTTTAAATGCTAAACAAATGGCAAAACCTTGATATATCAGAAGCCATCTGCTCATACTGATTTTTTTTAAAAAATGGGGATTACTTTTCTTCACAACAACTCTTAAATCTTCCAAATGAAAATAAGACTACTATATCACAATCTACTATTATAAAACTAAATCTGATTCAGAGAAAATTATGCATTATAATTATTGTTTTCTTTATTATTTTCTGGCTCCAAATATGAGAGTTTGAAATAGTAGGTCAAATATAATTAAGGTACAATGTTAAAGAACATGTGATGATACAGGACTATAATTATATTTAGCCAGGTGCTTTTTCTTTTCTGCCTGTACCTAATTTAGAACCATTTCTAAAATTTGAATATGTTATATTTATGCAAGTCTATTTGGAAGTCTTGCATCAATGCGAACCATACCAGATTGCACAGTAGCATTTGCAGTTTTTAATCTGATTACAAAAATGTGGGGAAACTCCTAGGTATTTGTATGGCAGAAAGTTCAGGCTGTTAATTTAAGTTTGTTTTTTAGTCACATCATAAAATGTACTCTTTAAAATTAAGTAGATATTTATTTAGTGCCTGGATGAGTCCAGTAAAACCTATTTACAAAATCCTGAGTATCATAGATGAAGTGTGGGATTTAAATGCAAATGTATGCAAACATATAAAAAAAAGTTTTTTCCTCCTAAAATGAAATGCCACAATATTTAGAAAAGACAATGAATTTGTAGTTTTAGATCTAACCAAGATTTTCAAAAATGCAATTTGGGATTACTTAGCGTAACTTGAAGTTTGTAACTATGTACCATTTCCTCACTTTACTATCAGCATATCAATCAAGTTTATATTATTCTGGGTTGCTTATTTTATTAAAAGCAAATTCAGAGCACAATTGACTTTTCATTTGTTTAACAAGTGAAGAAATATTTACCCTGACAGCCATTTCATTGTAGAAATTCATCTTCATAATAAAATATGCTGTCTGTGAAACAAGGGGTAGAGAGAGAAAAAATGGCATACATTTCAGTTACACAAATACTATACTTCTATTTTTACATATAAAAGGTAAGAATTTTTATACATAATACATAATAAGAGTTTTCGGTTTGGATGAAATAAAATCAAACTTAGAATCAAAGAGATGGGCTTGCTAATACATAATGCAGGCTTAACCAGAAAAATCTATGGTAGTCAAACCAGCAGCTAATGGAGATATATGATCATAAAATGCTCTCCGCTGAGTTTGATAATCAATGGTGCTCTACTGAGAGTAGAATAACAAAGCAGAAATATTCACAAGTGCTGGTGACATATAGTATTATATGATTTATTCACCAGGGTTCTTTTAACCAAAACTCACAGAAACATAAAAGGAATTCATATTTCAAGATGCCTGGTTTAATGAAAAATTCAAAGAAATGCTGTCTTCAGTCGAAATCGTTCAAGGATATGGATGCAGTGATGGAGCAAAATTGTGCCTTCCAACCATCTGTACTAAACGTTATGTACTTAGTTGCCTCCTGAGTAATCCTTGGGAATTTTGTTTCATTTAATATTCATTCTAACATCATAAAATCATAAATACAATGATAACATGTTACAGTGAATCCCCTGATATAAAAAAAAACACATTTCCTGGTTCCCTTCCAATAAAGATGAATTCCGTGCTCGGTGAAAGAATCTCCTGTTACAGCAAACGCTCACTTGGCAAGATAGGTTATTTTAATGGATACATCACTTTACACTAAGCTTTCACATCTGTTCCACCCTCTAATTACCAATGCAAAATGAACATAATTCACAACAGTATCATAAAAAAAGTAAAATAAGTACTTTCGAGATAGAAGAACGTCCTTTATTTAGCATAACATGCAGACTCTGGGGGCTTGGGAGTGTGTTTTAACTACAAATCAAAGAGAAAGAACCTCTCCTTGATATGCAGTTCCCTGTACTCTCGATCTTCCCTCCTGGCAAAAAAAAAATCACTGTAAAAGAGTTTCACTGTAATTAGTGTTATTGGAATTGCCTAGTCTGATCCAAAGCAAATTGTCTGTGGAGAGCAGCAGGACTGGATTATTTATCAACTGTCTGGGCAATTAAGAAGCAGTTGGCTGCAATATATTATTTACAAATGAACACAATGACGCTGCTTCATTTTAGATTCACTTTCTTCATTACATTAGTTGAGGCATTATTGCTTTTGTTTAATTAAGCCACTTTTTAAAATGCTTACTTTAATATCATATTGCTTCCTCAATAATATACCCAAAAGAAAAGAAAAAAACGAAGAAGAGATAGCTCTTTGGCAGGAGGGGAATGATATACTTAAGCCAGGAAATCCTTCAATTTGGTGATAAAATCAACCTCCTATCCAGATCCCTACAATAGATAGGAGCCAACAGATGGGAATATTTTCTCTTCTTTCCATAACTCAATCTTTATCTAACTCTGCTTTGCTAATATGTTTCAAAATAGACTGAACTGGGAATGGAATGCTATGGCTCAGAGGTGAAAAGTTAAAACACACATTATTGTAGAAGCCTAAATTCCCAAAAGGTTTTATCAATATCTAGAACTGCTACTTTTGTAGTTTTTATGGTACTAGTAACTAAGCTTATATATTATCTCCGGATTACATCTATAAACTCTAGATCTGTGATGGCACAGGTGCCAGAAGTAGCTTGCAGAGCCATCTCTCTAGGCACGCGAGCCATCACCTGTTGCTCTTGTGTTACGCCATGCGTACGCCGTGCGTACATGCGCACCGGGTGGTTGCTCTTCTGGTTTCCAGCATGCACACTCCCATTTTGGCACTCAGTGCTGAAAAGGCTCGCCAACACTGCTCTAGATCTTATATCTGATTTTTTTTCAACTTCTGAGTCTAGTCTACACGCAAGGAATTCACTAGTAATCTTCCAATCCAATATAGGTAGTGACTGCAATTGTTTCCAGAGAGATGGTCATTAAATGACACAGTTGCTAAGTGAATTATGTGACTGAGGGTGAAAAAGAGAAAGTGATGCTGCAAAGATGGCTGGTTGCTGCTATATCATTCAAATGAACTTCTCTCTTATAATTTCCTATCACTGGGGTGTTTTTTCCCCCTTTTCCCCCTCCTTGTAGAACAAGAATTTGCTTTTCTCTGTAGTGCAGCACTTTCCTAAAATGTGCTAACTGCAAGTTAAAAAGCTGAGTTTTGTGACCTTAATTAGTTGATCTCCCACAAGCTAATGGTTGTGCCTTGAAACTGGCCAAACCTTAATCGGTTTCACACTGAACACTTTTGTTGTTGTAAATGCATGCATTGGTCAGAAAATGAATTTTTTACTACTTGTTCACTAGTGGTTTATTTTTGAACAGTTGTTATCTGAGGCAGTTGCTACAGGAGAAGTACCTATACTATTAAGCCTCCTTTTGCTTAACTTCAAATCTTATATAAGGCTGACCAGTTGTGTTATCTGCTGGAAATTCTAGACAATAGCAGCAGTGTCCACTGGGATAGAAGGGAAGATGGAACTAAATTGCAATGTTGTGATACAAGCCTTACTCCTTTTCTACAGACATTTGATGGTACCCCAAAAGGCTGGAACCTTCAGTACAACACTTTGGCACTTAACAAATGTAGCAGGATTCTGTGGTCACTGCTGAATAAGAGGGTAGTGTCACAAGGAACCAATGAGATTCTGTTTGCAATTAACAAATTCCAAATAGCACAAATATAAGATTTATTTCTCTTTTTTATCCGAGCCTATTTGCTTTATTTTTCAGATATCTGAACACTTATGCATGACCAAAAATGCATAAATCTGAAAATACGTAATGTATTACATATTTGTTCCAATAAAATAATTGTACCTGTTTTGTACAGATGCAAATTATGGAAAACTTAAAATATAGTTTTAGAAACTTAATTTTACCTCCACCATTTTTCTGAATTTTTTCCGCCCTTGATAACCCCGCCACCATTTCTGAATGAATACCATCATCTTGTTCAGATACCTAAAACAAAATACTTTAGTAAGGATATAAATTAATAGATATCTTTTACAGTTTTTAAGTTTCTGAATATGAAATTTTAATATCAATTTTATCAATTTCAGTTTTAGAACAATTTGTATTCTGAATAGTGGATTTTGAGAGATATCATCTTGATAGTGTACACTTGTAAAGCGTTTCCATGATTACTATCAGGTTGACATAGAAAAAGGGAGGAAAGGGAGAATTCCATACATACCTTTGGCCAGAGTCAGGTCTCATATTCCTACAGCTGATGTGTGAAATGTGCATGTGTTGGTGGATGTGATTTATGACACAGACAGAAGGGAAAGGATACAGAGGTAAAGTTCAAACACAATTAAGCGGAAATCAATTTCAGCCCCACAGAACAACATGCCAAAATGTTGATCCTAATAAGTGAATGGATTTCTTTTGAACTTTGTCTCGAGGCTAATTAATTAGGTAATCTTTTGGAAACTTCACAGATAGTTATATGCAATATAGCATGTTGAGTATAACTTGTTGCTGTTTTTCAAACATATGATCTTTTCAGTATTATTGTTATATAATCAACAAAATGGTTGTTGATTATAGAACAAATGTTCTTATTCTTGCATTAGCTCCCCCTACATGTATTTGAACTTTGCACTTTCCTGTTAACCAATTTCAAACAGAACCAAACATGAAAAAAAAATTGCAATCATTTTGCATGCTGTAAGAAAATGAACATTAAACCTAAAATCCCATTTCATGTAAAAAAGGATTTGATTTCTACTGTAAGCATACATGCATATTAGTTTTCAGATGAACATATTTATGATGTTTACAGGTACAGCTTAAATTACCTGATGTATGCCCGGACTTTGCACCCTCGAAACCAACTCTGAATTTTTACAGCAGCATAATATTCTGTTTTTCTGTATTCATCTACCCACCTAAAAGCAAAAGAGATAACTTTCACAATCTGTACTGTGATCATTTATATTAAAGATCGGAATAAGCAAGTAGTATTATTTTTATTAAATCAAGTACCTTTATTTATTTAATATCTTTTTACCGCTCTTAGGTGTAAAGACTACTTGCAATTTCCTCCTACCCTACAACATTCAGTGTTAAACTATAAAAAACATTTGTAACTGAATTTTATATTAATTACAATAGTATCATTTTAGAAAAACCAAAAGAATAGGAACCATAGGAACCATCAAGTCCAAACTATGGTTAGGGAAAGGATCCAAATTAAAGCACTACTGACAAATACATCCTTAGCAAAGGTTGTATGGATATTAGTTAGGGATGCTTTAATTTGGCTTCATTCCAAAGTTTCAATTACTGAAAAATAGCTTACTAGCTTCCTTATTATTGGTTCTACTCTTAGGTAGTTCATGACATTAGGAAGGACTATGCCTTATAATTTTACATCATCATTCTGTGCCTTGTCATGACAGAAAATGAATGCTATTCTTTCCAGTACTTGAAAAGCGCTATCATACCCTCAACTCCATCATCTTTCTGAAAAGCTCACTAAATTCAGTAACTTAAGACTCCAGCCTTTGATCATCCTCATTGTTTGTACATTTTCCAGTTGTCTCAATCTTCTGATACCCAAACAACACAAACAAAAACGGAATAATTATCACCATCTTTGGACTTCTATTTTTAAAGTATTATATTTATTTATCATTCTGTTATTTTCAGCCCTCTTTGTAACTCACCAAGACAATGTTGAACATATTTTTCTATATTTTAGACAAGGGGTTTTGAACATTTTCCAGGCCACATAATATGTTTCCTAATTAAAAAAACTGATCAAGAGGCAAAGTTTTAGTAATAGAAAATTGGTTGTGCTTAATTTTTTTGTCCTTAATCTTTCACAAAACCTCATCACATTTTTGTGAAATCTTAGGATATCCTACAACAGTTTGAAAAACTCTTCCCTAAAATACAAGAGCAATATCCATTCTTCTCCAAGATTCCTTTGCAGCTTTGCTTAGTATGGAAGAGAACATACCTTTAATTATTCTTAATGTAGCTAAGATCCTTCCTTATTTTAAAAAGACTGATGAAATACCAGATTCCCATTTAGTCAGGTATATGTCTGGAAGAAGGACTAGAAGGGATGTCTGAGCTTAATTTTGTTTATATTTCATATATTATTCCCACATGAAGAAGATAAGCATATTTAAGGATAACCTGAGGAAGTGGCTTCACTTGGTAGATTTTCTCCAGATTTGGTGCACAATTCATAAAACAGAATTTTCTAAAGTGTGTTTCGACTAAATTGTGTACATGTAATTCCTGGTTAACAACAGTAATTGTGATCAGAATTTCTATTGCTAAGCGAGGTAGTCATAAACTCTAATGCCAATTGACCTCATTGCTTAGTAGCCAAAATCCAGCTCTTCCCTTTGCTATTGCTAACTGAATCCGAATCATTATTGGGCAAGAACTCACCTTAAATCAGGTCATCCCTGGCTTAGTCCATCCCAGGCTTGAGCCTCAGTAAGGTAAGGGATTGCCTCCTCTTCAATTCTCTCTACCCGCCTATTTTCCTCCCATTTCTGCCATTTTGGCCATTATGTTTTCTGTTGCTTCTGCTGTCCTATCAGTCCCAGCTGACTTTCATTGTCTTCTACTTCCCACTTCTGATGAGGCATGCCTGGCTGGCCCTTCATGAGGCAGCTGCTGGTTGCACCAGGCCTTTTCCCCAAGGTGATGTGTAGTCTTGCCCAATTGTGTGCAGTCTTCTAAAGACATTTTGGAAGGTTTTGGAAGCCCAGGGCAGCAGTTCCACTGGATAAAAGGATGGCAAGGGCAGTGGAGCACAGATTAGCAGGAACAGCAAAGATGGCGAAGGACAGGGCAGCCAAAAGGCCAAAGTTAAGAGGGGGGAATCATAAGTGTTGATGAGCTGCCAAGTACCTGTATTTTGATCACCTGACAAGGAGGGGCGGGACTACAATGTAAAGGGCCAGGCTGAGCTTGCTTCCTCAGTAGTGGGAGCTACATCAGCAGGGCAGTTGGACCAGTGGAGCTCATGGCAGCAGGTCAGCAGAAGGCTAGCCAAAGCGCAGAGATTCAGGGAAAACAGGCAGATAGAGAGAGTTAAAGTGTCTCTGCAATTGTAAATGAGGGAAAACTACCAGGCACCTGAATTTTGAACATGACCATGGGGCTGCTGCAATGGCCATAACTTTGAATATTGGGGGTAATTACCATTTGTTCAGTGCCGCCATAACTTCTAGTAGTAGCTAAACAAATGATCATTGAATGAGGACTACCTGTAGTAGAAAGTCCACTTATCTTCAGGCTTTGACAGATTTCTATTTGAGGCATGTTTTTTTTAGACCCTTACCTTTCAATAAATACCATCATCATATCTGGATAAGAGGTACAAGGGGGAACTAGCAGTGAAATCCTTGTTTATCTGTGTGTTCTGAGGGCAAAAGATTTAATGCATTATGTATTGATCTGTAAATTATACTTGGCATGAAGAATTCAATTTATTTATCCACGGTTACATCAGTCTAACTGGTATATATAATTCAGCAAGCAGAACTGGATGTTGCTGCAGCAAGGAAGATTAGAGGAAAAGCAGTGGCAGCCATGGCAGCTAATTATAAAGGGAATACAATAGTTTAAAATTGTGTTGATTTTTCCCTCTTGTTCTTATTTTCACTCAATAGTTTAGATAGTTTTATGAATGTTTTATGATTCTGTTTTTAATTAATGATGGGGCTAATCTCCTTTGTTTTTTCTCTTTTATTCTCTGTATGTCTTTTTAGCCTGTATGATTGTAGCATTATCAAGCTATCCCACTTAATTTTGTTTCTGTGAATCTGCTAAATATTCTGTCTAATAAAACACTGAAGAGTACAAGGCTAGAATCTTACACTTATATATCTACCATAAAAGACAACCTGGGGACTGTTGGGTCATTTTTTCAGAGATATTTCCTTACCTAAACAGAGAAAGAGAATCACCACAGATGAGTGGGAGTGACTTCCAACTTCCTGCCAGCTTCCCTCTGACTTTGAAGGAAGCTGGTAGGGAATATAAAAGTGACCACAGCTGACTGTGGCAGCATTGAAGCAGAAGAACTGAATAAGAAAACTATAGAGCTTGGACAACCTCTAGTCCAACCGCCTGCTAAAACAGGAGACCCTATACCAGGAGTCTCCAATCTGTGGGCCATGGCCCAGTACCGGGCTATGGCCTCTTGGCCACTGGGCCTCGTGAATGGCTGGTCAGTGCATGCACGTGCACACTATCCCCACTTGCACTAGCATTATGGTGTTGCATGGGTGCTAGTAATGTTGTATCAAACAGGCACTGGTGCTGCTGTGAGTGCTCACCCACACTTGCACTAGCGTTGTGGTGGTGTCCGTGCACTAACTTCGCTGCAAGCATACACCCCCCACTCATGTTAGCACTGTGGCATTGCGCAAATGCTAGTGTTGCCTGTGGGTACTTGTGACCTCATTTGCATCTCACACACACTCATGGCCCCCTTTGTGCACATGCTCCCAGCCCCTTAAAGATGCCTGCCCCTCCCACCCCGGGCCAACCCAGAAAGGTTGGGGAATTCTGCCCTATACCATTTCAGAAAAATGGTAGGATCATCCCCAACTCTTTAGGCAAGAACTGATTAATTGTTTTGTCGAAAATTGCTCCTTAGTTCTAGGTTGATTCCCTCTTTGATTACTTTCCATCCATTGCTTCTTTTTATTCAGGTGTTTTGGAGAATAGGTTGATTCCCTCATCTTAAACATTGGAACACTATCATTTCACATGTTAGTCCTTCTTTTCATTAGACAGCCATAGCTAATTCATGCAACCATTATTCATATGTTTTAGCCTCCAGTCCCCTAATCATCTTTGTTGCTCTGCTTTGCACTCTTTTATATTGATTTTAAAAAATCTTGTCGTATGAAGCATAAAACAATCAAACTTGGAGTTTTAGTAGTATAAAGGATGAGTCATTCTCTCTCAGCTCACCTTACCTGGTTCTTGTTGTGGGAAAAATAGGAGGCAGAAGGTATGTTGACTATGTTCACTGCCTTGAGTTTTTGTAAAAATTATAAAAATGGGCTACAAATAAATATAAATATTTATTTATAAACCAATAAATATAGATATTTCAAAAATATATTGAAAAACATTTCAAATGTTTAAAAGAGATCAGACGATGCAAGTTTGTTTTAAAAGTGCTTTCAAACACATTTACAAGTGGATTTGAAACATTAGAAGCTACTAAAGGTACTCTATTTAGTCCCAAGCTTGTGTGAAATCATTAATCCCTACTGATTTTAGTCAAGTCCAATAAATAGGACTTCTAAAAAAGTTCTTAAATCATGGGTATATTTATTTAGTAGTCAAGAAATATGCGACAGACTAGGACTTGATAGAGTAGCCATGAATGTCTTATGCAAGCCAAGGTATTCCCTGTGACTATTTATGGAAGTGAAAGTTAGACTTTGAGGAAGCAAGATAGGAAGAATGCACATGCTTTTGAACTTTGATGTTAGAGAAGACTCCTGAGAATGCTGTGAACAGTCTAGAAAACAAACAAAAGGATCATTTGAACAAAACAACTCAAAGGTCTCACTCAAATTATCCTAGGTTGTACTTATAATGCAGAGACCTAGTTCTGTAGAAGAGCCTTTAATGCTGGGAAAGGTGGAAAGAAAAGAGGAGAACCAGCAGCAAGGTGGGTGGACTCTATTACAGTGTTGATTATAGCATAGTTGGAAGACTGAAAGACTTGGTTAAGGTCAGATTGCCATGAAGAAAATCTCTGCGGCCGCCGACAGTTGACAAGGATTTCATTGTACATAATCAGTCAATATTTATTCATACCAGAGTCCAAATCATTTGTAACTTAGAGATCATCACCAGCACTTTGAACTGGATCTAGAAATGCACTGGTAAATAGAACAGTATTACAATGTGATTTCCTTGTTGGGACTTAGAACACCAGTGGATAAATTCTGAACCATTCATAGTCAGTTTGCTGCCCATACTAAACAAAACAAGAAAGAAAAAAACGTGTATCTCTTTATCTATTGTGTGATCATGATATTCACATTTATTCCTATGGCCAAATTATTATTATTTTTAAATCAGACTTATTTTAAAAAAAGAAAAAAAAGAGAGCTATTTGGAGAAGTAGTGATGTTTCAAAAGCAGTTCTTCCCAATCAGGTACTTTTGAACTATAGTTACAGCTTTCATCATTTCCAGCCTGTCCACCCAGTTCTGATGGAAATTTCAGACTAACAAATCTCAACCACAAACTACCAGCCAATTACACTTTAGCCTTGTATGTTCTGCTAACCCAGTCAAGGAGCTAGATTATGTCAGATTGCAATGCGACTCTTCCCTCTCCTCCTATGAGTAACCAAGGGCAAGCAAGTTGTGTCTCCTCAAGGTGTTGTCAACGTTATTCTTTAAAGAACTGTTTAGACCAGGGGTCTCCAACCTTGGCAACTTTAGGCCTGCCGGACTTCAACTCCCAGAATTCCCCAGCCAGCAAAGTTGAAGTCTGCCAAGCTTAAAGTTGCCAAGGTTGGAGACCCCTGGTTTAAACACACTGCTTCCTATTTTCATGTAAAGGTGACAAAATTCCCTTGACATCTAGAAAAGAGCCAAGAGACTCTTTTTTAATGCAAAATATGATGAACAAATGCAGAAGTAGCTGCCTTCTCCCTGTCGCCAAGATGAATTTGGTGGAGTTAAGAGTCATGGGGATGAAGAAGCCGCACTGTTTACTTCTGGGGGAAACCTCGCTTTTAGAAACAGAAAAAAAGCACCATTACCTGTTAGCAAGTTTCAATTTTTCCCCAACATGAACGCCATTCCCTTTCAATTCCAACGCTCATGAGAAACCCTGATCTTTCCACCTACGTTCCCCATTACTCTTATGTTACCATGGTGACTTAGTTATAGGCTACACGTGTGAACGCGTGAACTCTAATTTGCGGGGTGGGAATTCCCGATACTTCTTGGTCAGGAAAAAACAACAACAAAGAACAAGCAGCACCGGCAAACCTGGAAATCACCTCAGAGTCAAGGAAAGGATTCGCTCTGGACGAATAATTCAAGAGCCTTGGGAATGAGGCCCGAGTTACCTGTTTCTACTGAAATACTCTTCCTTGAAGCTCGGTAGCCGCTCTTGCAGCCGGACCAAAGTGGCCATCTTCCCCCCCACCCCCCCTGCCCGGCTCCCAGGGATAGTATACAAATTTTCGTCATGGCAACTGGATCGTACCATCTAGCCGAGAGGGGAAAAGGATACAAAACTTCTGCGGGGGGGGGGGAGAGAGAGAGACGGAGATAGAGAAGCGGCGGGTTTAGTTCCGCGGGGTGAAAGAGGGAGAGTAATAAGTTAGGCGAAGCGAGGGCGGCGGCGGGGAGACAACAACCCCCCTCATGCTTGTGTCACGTCCCTAACAGGGAAACCGTCATGGTCGAGGCCGGTTTCCTTCCAGCGCCGAAGCTGCTTCCGGGATACCATCATGAGGGAGTGAGAAGTGCGGCAGCCCGTCCGCGGCCCGGTGAACCGTCCTCCTCCTCCTCCTCGTCCTCCTCCTCCTTCCCGAATTCTGCAAAGCGGCACTTGTCTCCTCAGGGAGCGGCCGACTGCGGGCGCTGAGTACATGTTCCGGGTGGCTCAGCCCAACCCGAGCAGACCTCCGGCCGCCAGGAAGAGCTGGTGAGGGGCGGGGAAAGGGGTGGTGAGCGGGGGGCAGAGGAGAACGGGTGGCCTCGAGGCGGAGGGAGAGGGGCGATGGACTAGGTTGCCCTGGGGGGTCGAAGGAGAGGAGCGATGACCTACTACGAGCTTTGCGTAGAGATCCTCTTTCCAAAATCAACTCTAGAGCAGCTGCGGCATGGAGACTCGGGGTATAATTTGTGTCGGTGTTTACATCTTAAACCTCCTGGATGAAGTCGGATGTTAGGGCCTTTGTAAGGGGTAAAGTTGAGGTTTAATAAATAGCAGAAGACCTGTTTTCTGAAACGGGCTGGAATGAGAATGCAAAGAAAGGGTGGCTGGGATGAGTGGCCGGGGTGTGAATCCTTGGTTGGTTAGTGATGGGTTAGATGGGTTAGCCCTGGAGCATCTGCTGAAGTTCCCTCTGTTGCAAACTTGAAAGAGATTGTCCTGCGTTTACTTGTATTGGGATCACGCTAGGTACCAGAAGACATTGTCCACTGTACTTTCCATAGGTTGGGGAGTGATCAGATTTGTATGCTTGCTGCATCTGAACAGGATATTTTGGGAACTAACAGAGCACTTCTTTTGCTACAAGATTAAACATCCTTAAAAGAAAACGCTTAGGCTATGAATTCATTTTTAACAGCTGAATTACTGGCTTTTCTCTTGCTCTATTTTTTTATACAGTTGTCTTAAATGCTTGCAGCATTTAAGTATAGAAGAAAAAACAGAAAGATGGGGCAAAACTTGTTTTTCCCTCTGCAAACTTGTACAGTGCCTTCAGAAATATAGTCCAACGAAGTCTGATAAAAATACTGCTAAATGCAACATCAGAAAAAAAGGAATTTTGCTGTAAATCCCAACACTACTTTGATTTCTTCTTCTAGCATTTCCTCAAGTTCTGGGCTTGTTTGTTTGTGTATCCAGTGTTGATATATTGGTCGTGACAGGAATTGACCAATCTACCTAGGCCTGACTTTATGGACTGAAAGAATGACTAGCCCAAAGTTACCCTGTCAGTTTTTATATCTAAAGTGGGACTAGAAATCAGTCTCCTGGTTTGTAGGCTGCTGCCCTAACCACTAGACCAAACTGCCTTTCTCTTGCTGACTTTTCATGAATGCATGAAATTTTAAGTGTCCAAAGAGGCTAATGATGTATTTATGTGAAAGAATAGGAGTTACTGCAAATCTGGGCAAGGAGGAAACAAGGCTAAATTCATTTTTATAATTAAAAATATATGACAAATACTGAAATTTGTCTTTATTGTTAAAGCAAATTATAGAAAATATATGCTGTAGCTTGATAAAAGAATAGCACATAAATTTTTGACACATCTACAAGTGATCCAGAATTCTTGTGTTCATATGATAGGGGAGGAAAGCTAATTTTCTTTAATTGCACATAAATAAGGCTAGAGAAAAAAGTTGTAGGGAATATAGAACACAGTTAAAGAGATATAATTGAAAAGATATTGATTCATAAAAGGGAGGTTTAACTCTATGCTGCTATCTAAATAACCATGTTATAAACTTGACGCATTTTATGGGCAGACGGTAACAACCATTAGCCTCCATGGAACACCATCTGTAATAAAATGGTGCTTTAAAGTTTGTAAATCCTTTGCAGAATATTTCTGCATAAATATAATCTGAAACACTTTTATAGGACTTTTATTTGGCCATTTCAAAATATTACTTTTCTTCCCCTTTAACCATCCTTTGTTTGCATGACTTGTCTCTTGGATCATCTTGTTGCATGTTGAACTTTCTCTTAAGCTTATGTTCATGAATAGAGTACCCTGACACTTTACTGTAGAATTTTCTGGTACCATTCAGAATAGTCTGTTGATGATGGCGAGCCATCCTGATCCAGAGACAGCCAGAGGTGGTATTCTACCAGTTTGTATTGGTTCATCTGAACCAGTAGTGAAAATCATGAGTAGCCTCGCCCACCCGCCCCAGCTCTACGGCATCCCATTTAGGACCTTTTTTTGCCAAAAGCGCATGCACGGAAGGCTTTGCTCATGTACAGAGCTGGTGCGTGCAATCACATTTGCAAACCGGTAAGGAAGGTAAGTGAATACCACTCCTGGAAACAGCAAAGCAGGCCCAAACCATGATACTGCCATCACATTTCACAGATAGAATAAGGCTCTTATGCAGGAATCCAGTATTTGCCTTTAACCAAATATAACCGTTTTCAGTTAATCAGGAAAGTTCTACTTTGATCTTATACATCCACAGTATATTCTTAATAGGTTTCTGGCTTATCTGCATGGTCTTTCATAAACTGTAGATGGGCAGCAATTTTCTTTCTCCTTGCAATCCTTTTACACACCCACATACCATTGTTGTTCAGTGTTTTCAGGATGGTGGTCTCATAACAATGACATTCAACCAATGCAAGAGAGGATTTTGGTTCATTAGACATTACCCTAAGTTTCTTTGAGACCTCCCTTATTCTTGGTGTGATCTTGGTTGGTCAACTACTTAATTTATCTTCCATTTGTGCATAATCCAAAGGTGCTTTTTCAAAGAGGCAACTGGACTTTCTGTTTTTCTTTGAAGACATTTCACTTCTCATCCAAGAAGCTTCTTCAGCTCTGACTGGATGGTGGGGAATGGAAGGATTTATACTCCTTACAAATAGCTGGCCATTTGCATTTTTTTAGCAGGTCATTAAGGTAACCTGGAGGTTTATCTGTATCATCAGGGTCACCTGAGTGCTGCAAATGGGTGTGGAGCCTTCTTGGAACTGTTGAAAGGACTGTGTTGTAGATTAGAGATAGATGATGTCGTGTCCCTCCTCCTCTATTGAAAGAGGGCTGTTCAAATTTGACATAGATGACCTCATTAACCCCTCTTTCAAACCAGCGGTCCTCTGTCCAAAATGTGGACTTCGTCTTCAAAAGAGTGGCCTTTGTCTTTTCAATGTATTTGCTCTGACACAGATAAACCTTCAAGTGACCTTAAGAACTCACTAAGAGAATGCCAATGACCAGCTATCTGCAAGGAGCATAAATCCTTTCATTCCCCACCATCCAGTCAGCGCTGAAGAAGCTTCTTGGATGAAAAGCAAAATGTCTTCAGAGAAAAACCAGAAAGTCCAGTTGCCTCTTGAAAAAGCACCTTTGGGACAACTATGACCTGGATGACTGTGAATCTCCATAGATATTTGTGTATAGTAAACATCTGTCATACATTCAAATCAATGGTGGGTTGCAGGCGGTACGCCCTGGTATAGGCGTACCGGAGCCTGCCTGGAGCACGGGGTACCATTCCAGTATGGTGCTCCGGAGGGCCCACCCACCCACCCGAGTTCCTTACCTGCCCTTTAAGCCTTTGGCGCTTCTGCGCACACGCATGGCGCGTATGGCACCTGTGCTATGCTCCGCTGAGCAGCTGGAGGAGCATCGCTGAGGCTTGCGGAGGCATCACAGGCAGGTATGACACGGGCGCGCACACTGCGCGTGTCCATGTGGGTGATCCGGAACCCACCACTGATTCAAATACATGCACATACAGAGAACATTTGTACACTTACAAGCAGAAATATCAGGTAAAAATGATATAATATACTATGATATGGAAAAATATTAACTCTAGAAGAAAAGAAGAAATTACAGAAAATCAAAGCTGGATTTGTGGGCATGAGAAGACCTAAGTGAACTGGGGGGGGGAGCAAAACTCTGTTTAAAAACAGTCTCTTCCAGGCAGTAGTTATTTTTAATCTAATATTCAAAGCATGCATACTTTTCAGGCTATTCTTCAAAAGTATCTACTTTTTAAGCAGCAATGCTTGCAGTGATTTGTATCCTGCTCCTTTGTTTATTTTCCACATTATTTTCTCAGCAAACATTAAGACAAACCTCCTTCTTTCCAGAAGTAATTATTGGAAAGAGGAGTGCTTTGTTTTTCTATCAAGTAATTTGTTGGATAGTTCTCTATTTTATAAATAGAATAATAGCTTTGCCTCACTCCGTTTTTTTTAAACAATATACAATAATACATAAATTAAAAGACTGACTTTATTTGAAACACATATTTTTGCTTTGAGTTATAATTATAATTATATACCCTGAATTTCCATGTAGTTCTATGATGTAAAAAGCCTAGTAAAATAAAATATACAATCCTTGAGGGAAGTTCTTTAGGTATAACAAAGTATCATAAAGCTGAATTTTTGATTTGGGTAAATAAATAGGTAAAAGAATGTTCAGCATTTGCTGAATGCTGAACATTCAGCAAATCACTAGATGATTATATGACTTCATATTTTTTATTTATTAAGTTTCTATGGCCACCCATCACAAGTAAGTGACACTTGATGGTGAATGAACATAAAACAGTTAAAACAATTACAATATAATACAAATGTAATATTTTTATTTATATGTATAGACTACACATTTCCCTCATGAAAAAAAATCAACCTAAATATCAGTATAGCTAGGAAACATGACCCTTCATACCCTCTAGGCCTTGGGCCCAGGCTCAAAGCCAGATCTTCAAGGCCTTACAAAAGACCAAGTGGATCAGAATTTTGGTTACAGTTTATTCAGCTTTCTTTTTATCCTTCAACATGCAACAGCTTTCTTTCAGCTGATGGAATATCATCAATATGATTCAAGTTGCATTTTTAAGAGACAAGACAAGCCAGTCTATTTCCTGTATCCATTCATAAAGTGATTTTAATGGGATTTCTCAGCAACCATCTTCAGATATCATATTGGAATAAAAAGTATGGCATTGAGTAACTCACAGTGCTTATTACCATATCTCATAAACATATACTTTACCATTTTTTTTAAAATGATGTCATTACTTGCACAAACTTTATGGCAGACATTAGGATTGAAAAATAAGACTGCGTGGATAAGAAGGGGTACCTGTAAATAGTATTTCAACTAAATTTAAATGGCTTTCACAGTTGATTTATGCTCATACCTATTTTATACTGTACTGTTCTTTCATTATAATTAAGAATGTTATAAAAAACTACCCTGCAGCCCTATCATCTCTCTTGTGTTTTTCTTGGATTATGCCATTCAGAGGATAAAATATAGACGTAATTGATTTTTGTGATCTGAAAAGCACATTGTTAGCTAGTTTAAATGTTAGTATAGTTTATAATAGTTGCCAAAAAAAATTGTCCAGCCCAGCAACATGGATAAAGAGAGCAAAATACATATTTTAAATGATGAAACTATGATTACTACATATATGAAATACTAAATTTAATGTCATTGATCTATATACATATAGAACAACTATGTAAAGATATTCATGTTGTGGGGTTAAAATGAAAGGAGATCCCCATGTAAGTTGTCTTACAGTCCTGGAAAAGCAGGATATAAATTAAATAAATGAATTCATTGTTTGATAGATTAGTAATAATTTCATATAATCCCTTAGGATAAAGTAAAACTAAACTAAACTGTTCTGTTCTCTGTCTTTGTATTTTGAATGACACTAGAAATCAAAAATAGAGATGAGACAGAATATTATGAAATTTGGAACAAAATGTATCAATCTTTGGAAATGAGGTAAAGGAGTCGGAACAGAACATTTTGAGGATTGTAAAATTGGAACTGGATAATACATAGATAAATATATAAAGGAGGATAAGGGATATTTTAATAAGATTAATGTAGCTATGTACGATAAGTAGAAACTATTTGTTGTTATGTTAAAATATGTATGGAAATGACAAAACCAGAAAGGTCCAATGTTTTTAATGTTTATTCAATAATGTTTATTCAATTCGGGGGGGGGGCTCTTGTTATCTATAGCTACTACTGAATCCTTCCTTTTCCTAAATATACTTCCCAATAAGCTTGGATGCCTGTCTGTCTCTTGGATGCCTGTCTGTCTGTCTCTTGTTCTTGAAGAACTAGAACTAAAACAAGTACATTCTGCACAGCTTTTCACAATTTATAGTGCTGTATTATACATCTTCCTCTGAGACTCAGAGGAAGGCAAGATACTGCTTTGCTCTTGTAGGGCTTTGCATAAGAATAAAAGGGTAATATTTGGGTGGGATGTGTGTGATTATTTCTGTTTTATTTAGCCATCTGATAGGTAAATGGTTAGGACAAAAAAAGCTTACAGTGTAGTGCCACCACTTTCAAAGCACCACATAAAGCAAGGAAACATCCTATCTCCTCTAATATCTTCAAGGGAAGGAGTAGTTCTTTCACTTTGCTAAAATAGTCACTATAACAAAATATTAATTAACTGAAAATGGCTTTTTCTTTCTTTCTTTCTTTCTTTCTTTCTTTCTTTCTTTTCTTTTTTGCTATTTACAGGCATTTTAGTAAGACTATGGAGGAGCTAGTTCATGATCTAGTCTCTGCACTGGAAGAAAGTTCAGAGCAAGCAAGAGGTGGCTTTGCAGATACGGGTGATCATTCTCGCAGCATCTCATGTCTTCTAAAACGCCAGGCTCGAAAGAGAAGAGGGAGGAAAAGACGTTCCTTTAATTCACATCATCCCTGGGAGACTGGACATTGTTTAAGTGAAGGTTCTGATTCCAGCCTTGAAGAGCCGAACAAGGATTATAGAGAGAACTATGCTGCTAATAAGAAAGACCATAGTGATTCTGATGACCAACTGTTGGTTGCAAAACGCAGACCAAATTCAAATTTAAATAACCTAAGAGGCAAAAGACCTCTCTGGCATGAACCTGATCTAGCCGTTGACAATTTAGGTAATAGGACTCTGCGCAGACGTCGAAAGGTGAAACGAATGGCAATTGATCTACCTTCTGAAGTAACAAACAAAATTATGTTGCCCCAACCAGGCAACATTAAGGACCAGGAAATGGACAATGACAACAGACCTTACTCCCATCAAGAACTATCAAAGAGTAAAGTTAAAAAAAGAAAGCTAGCAGCAAATAGGCAAGGCCCAGACATTTTGGATGAAGGCGTGGTCATAGAGAATGATGAAATCAATCCTGTGAACAAGGATAAAATGGAATATGAAGAGCAAAAGGGCTCAGATGAAAACATGAGCGACAGGTTGTTTTCAGTTTTTCTTTTAATTGTGAAATTTAGATTATTGGGGTACTGTTCTTATGTTAAAGTGTTACGTTTTGCTTTAGGATTCCGTAGTATACTGCCAAAGTTGAACTATTTAAAATTGTTTAAAGTTTTTTCTGCCATTCTGCATTAAATCTTTCACTACAAACTCCTGTGCAATGCTACCCTATTTCGCCCAATTTGTAAGTAAGTTACAGGGGTCAGTGGTACTTATTGTCAAACAAGTATGCAGAGCATTTCAGTAAAATAATTTTAGCCTTCTTGAGTTGTTTTCTATGACTCATTTTTTTTACTTACATTTTTTTTTTTACTTTTACTTCACCTTACTTAAAGGAGAAGTAAGGACAGATAGTTCAAATTTTAATTAAAAATTTTGAATTTATAAAGTTGATAGAATACAATTGTTTATTTCCTTTTTAAACACTTTATTGCAGAAGTTTACATTTCTTGTAAACTTACAGTCCGGGATACTTTTATCCACTCCCAATTATGTCATGTTTATAAAGGAATTTAAATATTAGAAAATATTGAAATAAAACATATTCTGTTTTTCACCATCACTGGCACAACTATTCTTGGGAGATGCATCACAGTGATTTTCAAACCAGAATTCCACTTGCTCTGTGCTGATAGTAAGTTCTAAATTAGCGAGGGTATTTTTATCTATTTGATTTCCCCTTTCCTTCTATTTTTGGGATAATTCAGGTTTATATTTAAATAACCAGCTACATGACTCTGCCTTTTTATTGACGAATTTCCATCTTTATCCTAGGAAAAGCTAAGTTGCCAAGAAGCCTGCTTTCTAAGGCTTTTTGCTGGACTATCAGTAAGCTAATGATTTTAGAATAAGGATGACAAGTGAACATTGTGGTGGCTCTGTCTATATTAATAGTAACCTGAAAAACTGCAAAACTAAAGAATATAAGATAGTAAAGGACGTAAGAGCCATGGTGGCACTTACTTGCTGTTAGAGTGCAGTATTGCAGGCTCTCTGCCAGCAGTTTGATCCTGACCAGCATAAGATTGACTCAGCCTTCCATTTTTCCAAGATCAGTAAAATGAAAACCCAGATGTGTGGGGGCAATATGATGGCATTTATAACCTGCTCAGAGAGTGCTTGTAAAATACTACCAAGCAACATATGAGTCTAAGTGCTATTGTTATTTCTATTTAAAAAAATTCTGCACACTATAGCCATTTTACCATTTTTTGAAGATGAGAATCTGGGTAAGATATTAATATATGTGTAATTAATAATTTCTCTTTTTTCCAGTATGAATAGAGTTCATATAACACTATCTCTATATTCTTCCTAATGCTTTCCCCTTTTAGTAGAATGCCTTTTATTTGTTGAGAACTTTCATCCAACAATAGCTGTAGTTGTTTACTGAAACATTTGTCTCATCTTCCTTTAGCATGGGAAACAAAGACATTTAACTGATAACAGTTTGGAAATAGCGTGCAGTTCACAGGTATAGCATGTGCTTGGCAAGCCATTTCAATCCCTGACTTTTTAAATAGTGTTTGGGGAAAAAAGATCTGCCTGGAACCTTGAAAACCAATGTAAGCCAATCTCTGCACTAACAGAGGTAAATGGATCAATAGGTTGACTTGTTGTAAACACTTTTCAGTATTTCCTAACCGTTGTATACAATAATACAATGCCAAATAATTGTATGGAGAAAACTCAAAAGAAACATAAGAAGAAATATGAAAGGGCTTCCCTAAAATCTTAATTAAAAAAAAACCTTCATAGGCATTTATAAAGGACATTTCTAATTTGATTTTTTTCATGGCAAAATTGATCCTGTTCTGCTTTTGATAAGAGCTCTCCTAGATAAGTGGCAGACACTTGATGCCCTGAACTATTAAAAAGAATTTTTAACATATATAAAAACTGAAGTACTGCTTATAGACGTTGTAAATTAGCACCAACAGAGAAAACCAGCAGTTACTGTGATAGATGCAGTCATGTGACTGCACAATTACACACTTATTAAGCAAATTGGCATTGGAAAGCTTTGATGCTTTTTAAGTCCAATCCTTATTATTGTAGACAGCATTGCAATTCAGTTCTGGCTAGAAGTGATGATTGGATGATTGCTGCATCCTTTTAGGTACGATCAGATTTCTTTCCTGGTTATAATTGTCACTCGCTTGCCTACAGGCATAGATTATACTAATTTCTAATTTACAATTAATGAAACTCTTTGTGAAGAGGTGAATGTTACTGAACACAGGTGAATTTTCTAACATTATTAACAATAGCTTTTTACCAGAATTGATGAAACTCACAGCATTTCTTTTGCAATTTGGGTAAGGAAAGTAACTAAGCATCCAGTTGTGTACAATACAGAGTAGAGTAGAATTATTTATTGGCCAAGTGTGATTAGACACACAAGGAATTTGTCTCTGGTGCATAAACTCTCAGTGTACATACAACAATAGTGATAGAACAGTTATAGTTTTAAAAGTTCAAAAGTACACTTTAAAAAAAAACCAAATCATCGGAGAAATTAGGCACCAAAATTGCTAAAAATCTATGAGATAACCTAGTTCAAAGATACAACTTTAAAAGGAGTTTAAATAACAAAGTTAATAATTGTTTAAAAAGTTAAAATATAGGATTAGATTGAATTAAATTACTGGATTAATTTGTATTCAATTACTGATACTAAGTCTGTGGACTAAGTTCAAAATTGATACACTATCAATTTATTGATAAGTTATTCCCTTTAGGATTTATAAATAGATGGGAATTAACCTTAGCGGTAAAAAAGTGAAAATTCACTGCAAATGTTAAAAGGTCTCCTTTTGTTGGTCACAATGAAATTCCAAATAAAAAGTGTATTTCAAGTTATTGTGGGATTTTACTTTTTATCTTTTAGAAAAATCATTATTTTTGTGAAACAATAGTTCATTGGCAATGATATTTTGATAAGTTTTAAAACTCAGGAGTACTTACTGCAGAAAATTAGAAATGTTTGGATATTAATTGCATTCTGGATCTTGATGCTGTTTTACAATATTAGATGCTCATAATATTAATTCTACATTTGTACATAATTTTCTACATTTTTTACTTATACATGTAAACATTTGGGTAATGAATATAAATATATGTTGTTAGAAACAGAAATTAGAAAGTAGCAGAAATTGGGTTTTTTTATTTTTTTTCTTATTTTTCTCGAGAGACATTTTACTTTGATTTAAAAGACATCATTGTACAAAAGCTCTTCTTTTTTAATTAAACAATAGACTTGCAATGAACATTTATGAGATAGGTCCATAATATTTCCAAATGTTAAGAATAGATATTCTGGCGTGGGATACCTATTTTTCATGCAATCAAAAGCTGCAATAGTTTTGATTCAAATTTCCTCATTCTCCCCCCTCTTTTTTTCTCCCTTTTTTTTTTAAAGTGAGTAATAATTTTAGGATCAAGCTAAATAGCACAGCATAAGAAAGGAACAGTGAGCCTTTGATGGAAGCAGATAATAAAATGCATCAATTGTATCAGCACCTCATTGCAGTCACATCTGGCTTACTGTCAGGGTCCCATTAGATTCCTGTGGTTTTTATGTGCCAAAAATAATATGTTCTGTAGTTAATGGAACAATGATATTTGCAGTTTGATCTTTTTTTCTTTTAAAAATAATAATATCCTATTTTCTTTTAGATTTTGTTAAGGCTTAAGTTTCATCTGAGTGCAATCTTGCCTGTTTAAAATTTTATGACTGAGATATCAATTGTACTTCTGATCTTTTCTTTTTCCCTATTATCACAGTGAATCCAGCAGCCTCAGCAGTAGTGATGCTGGTTTGTTTACCAATGATGAGGGAAGACAAGGTACTGAAACATTTTAAAGAAATGTATCCAGTTAAGTGTTTGCATACTTCATAAGCAGATAATCAATATCTTAATTTTTGATTTTTTTACTAAAAACATTGTATAGAAAATCCAGTTTGTTGGGATTTGTATTTGTTTTTGGTCTGTTTTTCCTTTAAACATGGAATTATCTCTAGAGTTAATAGAACAATTTATCCTGTTCCTATAAAATTAACATAGAATTCTTTCTGATAAAATTTTATATGAAGCCTAAAACATCATAGTGTAAAATATTTTGATTTGCTATTTCCTAGACTGCTGTACTGTCATAATTTTCTAACTCCTGATATTATTTATTGTGGTGTTGTAAACAAGTGATTTAAATGCTAGAGTTGTCCTGATGGTAATTAATACTAAAATATTATTAGCTGCTGAAATTTAAGTAACAGAATTGGTACTGAAGTCTTGATACAATCGTTATGTTTTATTTTTATAATTTCATTAAATATACTTTAGTCCAATTGTTCTCTTCTGCTTCATTACAGCTGAGTTTAAAGAGACACACACATTTTAAATTATTGTTTTATGGTCCCAAATAATTAGTTTCAAAGATAATATATTTGTTTAAGACTGCGTTGCAGTAAATAGGAATTTCTTTGTGATCAATGAACATACAAGATTATTCAATCTCTGGCTGTCATAAGGTGGGGTTACTTGTGTTTTTCACACATTGAACAATATAAGATGGTAGTTCTCTCTCTCTGGTTGATCAAGAGTACTTCTATACCAGTGAATAAATATTACAAATTATAAAGTGCAGGCAAAAGAAACATTGACTGCATTTGCCATTGACTGGCAAAATGTTTAGTACTGACTTACTGTGATGGATGTGTATATAGTTACTGAGATTTTAGGGTTATTGTTTCTTCACTATGTTTTGTGAGGTACCAGCAGAATTTGTCTAGCTAGTTAGCAACCAGCTAGGTGCCAGGCTGGGTGGAGTGAACAGCCTGAACCTTTTCTGGACACAGACCTCCTAATGCTCCCTAGCATCAGTATATATTATTTAATTAACAAAAACAGTGAAAGCAGTCATATATAGTTTTATTCAATTCTGTCCCACTCTCATTTTGCACATTAAAGCTTTCAAATCAAATTCAGGAGAATGTGGCTGGCAAAATTGCAGGGAGAAACTGGAAGTGGAAAATATTATATCCGTTCTTCTTCTACGGAGAAAGCTGCGCAGTTTAGCTTTGGGGTTATCTGAATCTCCATTGTATTGGACTCCAAAAATGCCCGAATTGTTGTATCATCTCTTTTATATCAAGTTTTACAGTTTAAAACTTGACTTTTACACTTTAAAAGTTTATGTTCCTTGAGCACAAGTTAAATAATATTTTTTTAAATGAATAAATAAATAAATGGCAATAGCACTTAGACTTACATGCCACTTTACAGCTCCCTCTAAGTGGTTTACAGAGTCAGCATATTTCCCCAAACAATTTTGGGTCTTTATTCTACCCACCTCGGAAGGATGGAAGGGTGAGTCAGTCTTGAGCCTGGTAAGATTTGAATTCCAAATTGCAGGCAGTCAGCAGAAGTATACTGCAGTACTGCATTCTAACCATTGTGCCAACATGGCTCATCTGCTAAATAAAGCAAAGAAATAAACAAATAAAACAAATAAAACAAATAAAATATACAAGCAAATCTGGATATAAATCTCAGAAAAGAGATTTTGATCGAGCTACATCTGAGTCATTAAGTGCTTTCTCAGACAGACCATGGGATGAATTCTTTTGAGTGGATGTTCCCATCTTGCTATATTGAAAGACAGGAGCTAGAGTCTTTATTATACGTCCAACCCAGATCTTAATTCCTCATGATGATTCTGAAAACTTTCAGCTGAGGTAAAACAAATCCTTGCTTCAAATGGCTGCTGTTCCAGGATAGCATTTCTGACATCATCCACTCTTTTTACTAGTTGTATCACTCTAGCCACATGGAAAATGAAAAATAGCTTTAGGGCACTTTAACAAAGATGTAAAAATTTCAGATAATTTTGTGAAGGGCATTTTAGAGATTTTCTTTTGAATTTTTAATTTCTATGAACCATTTTACCCTTGATGGTCAATATTTCTATGAAGCTGTCATCTTTCATTTGAAAATATTTTTTTCAAAACTTTTTTCTTAATCTTAATAAAATTAAGTTGATTTGGTCATACCTATTTATGATTGCTTTCTTTTATTTACCACACAAATCATAAAATTAAGCTAATTTTGTATCATTCTGTATCATTCTAATCTGAAAACAACTGATTCCACAGATTTATACTTTTTTAAGTATATTTTGTTTTATTAATGTGACACCACAGTAAGTGAAATAGAATTGTTTGGTGTTATCATTAAAATATTAGGTCGTCAAATTATTTCTCAGATTTTTAAATGACCAGCAAATAGAATTTCCATTTCCTTTGAATCTTATGCTAAGAAATGAGAAATCCCAATTAGAGTTCTGGTGCCAAAGAAAATACAATATAGAAGAGAAAGAAGAAATAGTTCTTATTACAGATAAAACTTTTGGATGGATAACAAACTTCAATATATCTTTCTGAAAAACATGTGGAATGTTTCTTATAGGTGATGATGAGCAAAGTGACTGGTTCCATGAAAGTGAACCTGGAGGTGCCTGTGGGATTACTGGAATTATTCCTTGGTGGGAAAAGGAAGATTCAGCAGGACTGGAAAAAGAGATGCCTGACCCCATCTTTGAAAGTATTCTAACAGGCAGCTTCCCACTTATGTCACATTCAGGCAAGAGAGGTCAGTAACTTTTAAAAGACTGTTTTGAAATTACAGTTATATTAAATTAAATATTGTTAATAGAATTTGAAGTCTGCAATCAACTTACTTCTTTTTGATTCTAGTCTAAAGTTTACTTTGTTGAATATTGTCAAGGTATTTGGATCCCAACTGGGTTGGAGTTTCATTGTCAAAAGTTCAGGTATTTATGGAAGAGAAAAGGACATAGTTTGGGCTGATTCTTTCCTTCCCTTACAATTCTATATGCTACCTCCAATACTTTTCTAAATATTATTCAGTATTCTAGATCTCATTCCTCCCTTCTCCTCTATATCTGTCCCGATGTGTTCTTTGGTAAAAACTAGCCTTTTCTTTTTTAAAAAAGTTTTTGATACATTCTGAAGTAATAATTGAAACCATCTTCTAAGAAGATAGCAGTGCTGATCTCTTACAGCAAATATGCCAAGGACATGGAATGCATACCTGATAAAATGAAGTATGGTCCACAGTAAAATTAGTTTTCAATGTGCCATGAGATTCTTTGATATTTTGTGCCAATTCATCCTGGTTTCAGGATGGTTTATTACTAAGAAAATGAACAGTTTCTATTTCAAACCATTGTTTAATTCAAAGCTCTTTATTTTAAAGGAGCGTAAAGTTCGAGGCAGGTCCGTTTCAAGTTTGTAACTGAACTTGAAACGTTTCCCAATGATAGGCTGTTTTATACTTGAAACAGCTATTTTGCAATTGAAGCGAGGCACTTCAAACTTGAAATGGAGTATTTAAAATTTGAAAGAGTTTTGAGTGAGAAATCCCTATTTATTATCTGGAAGATCTTCATTTATTCCTTTTAAAACTATTAAAAGAAAATGAAGACTTTTCAACAGTACCATCTATACAGATATACACATAACTCTATTTCAGTTTTATTCCTTTTATAACATTTTCAAAAATTGCAATCCAGTAAACAATCTAATTTGTTGTACCTTGTCTGGTTATTCATCTTTTGAACAATGATATGACTACCTTTAAGAGAGTTATTTATAAACATGTATAATTATCAAGTTTCCAATGTTGGAATGATTCCAACACTGTGATAGGATTATTTAATAGTACAAGTAAATTTCATATAACATGTATATGTTGATCCATGCCTGATAATGCAACATGTTAAAATTGGAGTAGGGGTTTGCCATATTTTATTTTCAGATAAATGTAAATAAGGAAATTTTTATATTTGTCATCATAGCTAGTATAGGATGCCAATATAGCTACATAGTAGAAAATTTAATTGAATGTATTTCATGAGAATAGAACAGAACAGAATAACAGTTGGAAGGGACCATGGAGGTCCTCTAGTCCAACCATCTGCCTATACAGGCAAATTGTTTTAAAGGTTTCTTAAAAACTTCCGTTGTTGGAGCATTCACAACTTCTGGAGGCAAGCTGTTCCACTGGTTAATTGTTCTAACTGTCAGGAAATGTCTCCTCAGTTCTAAGTTGCTTCTCTCCTTGATTAGTTTCCACCCATTGCTTCTTGTTCTACCCTCAGGTGCCTTGGAGAGTAGTTTGACTCCCTCTTCTTTGTGGCAACCCCTGAGATATTGGAACACTGCTATCATCTCTCCCCTAGTCCTTCTTTCCATTAAACTAGACATTATCATTTCCAGCAACCATTCTTTATATTTTAGCCCTCAGTCCCCTAAACATCTTCATTTTTCTTCTCTGCAATTTATACTCATAAGCATAGAATTTAGGAAAGCATGCATGATATGCAGGGTAAAAGTTCAACTGCTTAATCTGTCATTGACAATGCCTTTGAAACCTACCTACTATAAGGAGATTGTTGTCTTCTCTAGATAATAATTGCACATTTCCTTTTATGTCCTTGTACTATTTATGGTGGCTCAGTGGCTAAGACATTGAGCTTGTCAATCAAAAAGGTCAGCAGTTCAGCGGTTCGAATCCCTAGTGCCACATAACAGAGTGAGCTCCTGTTACTTGTCCTGGCTTCTGCCAACCTAGCAGTTCGAAAGCATGCAAAAATGCAAGTAGAAAAATAGGAACCACCTTTAATGGAGGGTAACAGTGTTCCATGCACCTTTGGCATTTAGTCATGCCAGCCACATGACCATGGAGATGTCTTCGGACAGTGCTGGCTCTGAAACGGAGATGAGCACCACCCCCTAAAATCGGGAAGGACTAGCGAGGGGAATCTTTATACGTGCGAGGGGAATCTTTACCATTACTATTTATGTGCAATTTTCTTATACAATAACTTTTAAACCAAAAGAGAATTTTAAACTATTGTAGTTTAGAAAAACAAATCTTTATCTTTTAGATTGTCCCTTTATAAGTGTATATTACTATATATTAATTGAACTGTCATTTTATTTCTAGATTTCCAGACAAGGCTTAGTCATCTTCATGGAATGCCAGCCAGGAACATCAAAAAGGTAACAGGGAACACAACTGCAATGGTGAGCTGGTTCTCATAATTTATAGTGAGCCACATTTTCTGTGCAAAGAATTGTATAAAACAATTATCTTATAGTAAAATCTGAGTCTCCCACCATTTTTAATAATTGACTTTTTTCAGAACTGTACAAATCCATGGTACACAAAGTAGAGCTATATTAAATGATGATCTGATTAAGTGATGACAATGACAGACAAGATTTATTTATTTAGCATACGTATTTAGCATATTAACAAATTATTTAGCAATTGTCTCAAACGTCTATCTTTTATATTTGTAATTCTATAGTATAGATTATCTGTTTACCTCTTAATTCTGGAAAATGCATGTATTTTTTACCCTCAAATGTCTAAAGTTTGATCATTATAATGCAATGTATGAAATACTATAGACAGATTTGGGGAAACCTAATTTTAATCTTCATTATTATCCAGAACAAAAACACTTTTGTTCTGGAAACTAAAAAATTATCCTGTTATAATAGACAAAATCTGAAAAGGTGTGTGTGTGGGGGGGGGGGGAAGCTTGAACCTGTGAAGTTTATGTTAGGCTAATATTAATATTCATTGGATTTTTACATGTATGCTTGATAAAATGACATTGTGTTAGCATAAAAAAGTATATTTGTGAAACTAGTTTGGCTAAGTAAATGAAATTTTAGATTTCCTTGTGAAAGAATAGCAGTTATGGGTTAAATCTACTTTAAGACCTTGGCCTGTGAACTTTGTCCTTAGAGGTAATGAATCAGATGAATACGGTTACAGGTCTCCGTATTTTTATTTTTGGTTCACTGCTTGCTTGAACATATCAGGGATTTGTAGCCCATTTTCTAGGCTTATTGCAATCTCATTCTAGTATTTTATAGGTGCTATTACAACTGATAGATTAAGTTCATGATATTGATGACACATGACTTAACCAAACTAAAAACTGCATTGTTCTAAATTGTGAAAAAGGTGATTAAGTTTCAATTGCTGGAAGTATGCTGTGGGTGTGTGGTTGTGTACAAGCACATTAATGTTCGTTTGTGTATATGTAAATAAATGAGAAGGGCCAAGATTTGTTTTCTGATATAAGATCTTAATAGTTGAAATATTTTCTTTTTCCTGGTAAAATACCTCCTACAAAATATATATTTGTATGATGCATACAAATATTACTTATATTCAATAATTTTCAGAATTCTGGATAATCCATACTTTTTTACACAACTTTTTATATAATAAATTACTACTGTTCACTTTAGAAATATAATACTGGTGAGGGTATTCTGGTTTCTTTGTAAATTTGATAGGAAAAGTATTTTTGTGGATAATTTTCATTCTGATAAAAAAACCAACTTTCTGTCCATATGTATTAAGCTTGCCTTGTATTATTATTATTATTATTATTATTATTATTATTATTAATAATAATAATAATAATAATAATAATAATAATATTGCTGCTTCATGGAATTTAAAGAAGGATGAAGAATAACTGCAGTACAGCTGATTTCCTACTTTAGAAGCAGCCTATACTTCCTACAGTCCACTACAGACACACCTAATAGATTTGCTTTGAAAATTTGACCTGTCATGACAGAAGACATAAAGTTATTAGTTATCAGTGAAGAAAGTTCAAAAGCAATCTTAAAAATGCTGAAAACCAATAACAAAAGGAGGAATCTAATGCCTGTGACATCTGGTAATGCTGAACAAGAAGTAATTACTGCTATTAGACTGTTACACTGAAAGCAAAAGTGCTTTTAGAAAGATTAATTCCCTGAGCTAAATAGGATACTGCAAATGCAACTCTTTGAACAGAATTGAGATGATGACTTGTTCTTTCACTTTTAACACAGATGAGTTTGCAAAGCCTGTGCAGGAAAAGTTGCTCAGTGCCTCCAAAAAGAAGAAAGAACCGGGAGGAAGGGAAAAGGACATACTTTCTGATGAGGTTTCATCTGAATAATGGGCCAAATAATAAACTGCATAACAATGCACATAGAGCACTGACCATGCACTTCTGTTCAGCTTGGTGAAATCATATTATTTAATAGATTGCATAGTATGTAATAGATAAAACATCATTAGTAATAGGAATGCAATGTAAATAAATCCTAAGAACTCACCTAAGTGGGTCAGGAAAGGAGTGAAGAGGTACAAGGTTATTTTTTGCTTCACTTTGTTTTGTTGATCAAAAGTGTAAGTGAAAGTATTACTCAAAAAAATGGGCAGTCATTTTTCAACGATTCTGGAGAAGCTGAAATCTATGTACCACATTGCTGACAATTCTGCCTTAGAATGAAATGGTTTATATGTTTCTCGGCTTCTGCTACCTGTAGTGTGGAGATAGAACTTCTGAAAATTTTGTCATATCATAGTAAGGATTATTTGTATGTATGTATGTATGTATGTATGTATGTATGTATGTATGTATGTATGTATGATAGAGGGAGGGAGGGAGGGAGGGAGGGAGGAACATTCAAGAAGCATATTATGTTGGTGTTTTCCATTAAGATACGCACTGAAACAAGATTGCCACAGGGTCTGTATCATACTGTGCATCTCTATTTTTCCTAATAGAAAGTCAGAAAATATTGTAATCCATAAAATGAACACATGTATAAGCTTGTTTTATTGGAAGAAAAGGTGAAAAGTTTTGAGAATACTTTTTTTGACAAAGGAACAAAGGAAACTAGGAAGTTCCTGGTAAAGACAAATTAAACTCAGGAGAGGCAGAGAAGGGAAATAAACACTCAAGAACATTGAGTCACTTTGTGACTCAAAGAAGCAAGTATATCAGGAGGTATGGCTCAATCTCTCACTCCTGAAGACAGTCCACAGTGGCCTGAATAAACTAACCAATCTCAGAAAACAGTCAGCCCTCCATGGCTGAAAGAAGCCCAATAATCACATTGGAGAAATGTATTGTAGTCCTTAATGCCCTGAGAAAAACTGAGGTTGCATTACAGGTAACCCTTCTATTACAATCACTTGTTTAGCAACCATTCAAAGTTACAAGAGCACTGAAAAGTAACTTATGACCTTGCATTTAAAGCTGTCATAGCATGCCCACGGTCACATGATAAGAATTTGGTTGTTTGGCAACTGGCATGTATTATGACAGTTGCGGTGTCCCAGTGTCATATGAGCCCATTTGCGATCTTCTCAGCTAATTTGTGACAAGCAGAATCAGGGGAGGAAACAAATTTGGTTAACATCTATACGATTTACCCAATAGCATGGCAAAAGTCGTAAAATTGGGCATGATTTACACCTTACACATAACAGTCACCTTGCTTATCAAGTGAAATTCTGGGCCCAGTTGGGGCCATAAATCTATAACTATCTATTGCAGGTAGTTCTTGTTTATTTGATAGTTAATATATTGCAGGAGCTATGTTTTTCTCTCAATGTTCATACATACTGCAGGATGTGGGAGGCAGGCTTTCTCAAATCCATTGTTAATCTAGCAGTTATTTTCGGGATGAAAATACTGACAGAAGGACCTTGATAGAAATCCAGATAATATGACTCCTGTGCAAGAAAATGAAGAGACAAGGAGTAGAATTAATATTTTCCTAGTTTTTCTAGATGTGGGTCATATTGAAAAAAGGGGAAATTGTTTTATATACAGAATATTAAAAGAAAGGAAAGTTGTTTTACACACAAAAGCCAGTTCACATGCACATTTAGCTCTTTTTTATTCATCGTGTGTCTTTCTAATGTAATCTCATTGAATCTACTACAGATTATATATGCATACACATTTGTCTATTTGTGTTTGTGTAATTATTAGTTTGCATTGTGATTTTATTTTAATTTCTGGTATATTAAAAATATAGATATATTTGACTTTCAATTCTTAAGTGTAGGAATATAATTTAAAACTATACTTTTTATTCATGTTATTTAAAAAGAATTTTATTTGAGCTGTTATTGGTTATGCTAAAACTACAATTTTAAGAAATCAGAAACTTCTTTTGGGTTTGATGGATTTCTACTCTTTAAAGAGAAACAAAACACTAAATATTTCTAATCCTGCATTATTTACCGCATGAATGGGTAAAATACTACTTTAAGACTCATAAAATTTAGAGGAAGAAATCTGCCAACTGTAGCAGGAATTAGATTTAGGAAGAGAGGTACAGAGTCAAAATATTGCTACAGAATTAAATGTCAAAAATCTTCTTTAATAGTAGATATATAGTTCACAGTGTCTGGTTATGATTAATACATTTAATCTAAATCACTGAAAGTTGCTCTCTCCTTTTCCATAAAATACAATGAGACACAAATCAGTTTTACTATAGGTGGATAACAATTGGAAAATAATGCATCTTCCCACCCAATAAATTGTCAGTTATACCTTTTAACTAAATCAATTCATCTTTTCAAAATTTATTGCAATTTCTAATAATAAATCATCTCAAATGTTTATTCATTTGCTGCCTGATACATTTGCACCACTTTTGTTATAGTCTATTGTTGTTGGGTTTTTTCCCTTTTGATTCATTGTAAATTATAAAGCTATTCTGAATCCATTCAGAATACTTAAAAGTTAAAATCTATACCCCAACCATTTCTCTTTTTTGTCCTTTACACATTTTAATACCCTTCAAGTTTGATTCAGTCCAATAAGATGATCAGAAGAGTTTTTATGGTCTTTGAAACGATCTTTGTTCGATATTAAAGCAACCACTATAAAGATGATTATTATAGATTTTATTTGCATACATCAATTAACCAGATAAATTAAACCAAATGTAAGATAGTTGAATATGAACAAGAATAAATGTTCTGCTGTACAGGTAGACCTTAATTTACAACATTCAATCAGCAACCATTCAGTGTTATGATGTTTCTGAATGAACAGATTTATCATTCATGCCTGATATTATGGCTGTTGCAGTACTCCTATGGTCACATGGTCAAAATTCAAGCATGTCCACATTTATGACCACAAGGGCATCTCAAGTCCCCCCCCCCATTTTTTCCCATTTGGATTGGATTTATT